AAAAAAAAAAAATAATAAATTTTTTTTCTTGATTAAGTGGACTGCCTAAATGCAGTCTTTTTTTTTTTTTTTGCATTTTTGCTATACATATCGCTGTGTATTTTCAGCCTAACAGTTCGAAAGGAACTAATGACCCCGATTCGACTGGTACATTACATAGACACAAAGCTGGGTTGCTTTTTTGATTTGCTGTATCAATTGCCACCACACTGTCAGCCGGCGAAATTTTTGCAGGTTAGCTAACAGCAGTGTTCTTTTAACATTTCCATCGCTATTTCTTCAGAACCATATATTTGGCTATCTGTCTGCGTCTGATCTGCTGAATCGCCTATCTGTCTATCTAACTAGCGAGCTGACCTTCTGTCCATCTATCTAACATATGAAGCCTCATCTAAAAATGTCTGTTTTTATGATGGTTATTGGTGGTTCATTCTTGTTTTGGTCACCATTTGCCCAGCAGAAGGGCTTCACAGCACACAGTTTAGTTTCCAAAGCGTTTTTAATATTGCTCTCTATTGTTATTGCTTTTGTTGCTGTCGTTCACATCTTCTGCTTTTATTTATTTATCCTTATATGTTATTAATTGTATGACAGCAAATAATTTACACAAATTTCTTTTTATTTAGTTCCTCTCTTCTAAGTTGAACCAAAATTCGAAAAAACCATGATTGTTCGTGGCTCACTGTTCACATTCATTATACACGACATTTTTATTCTGCTTTTTTGTCACTTTTTTTTTCACTAGTCTGTTTTACATCAATTTTCTTCGCCTTTTCGGTTTATTTGTCTGTGATATTACATATAATTTCAGGGTTTATTGGTTTCCGACAGTGATAATGTGAGTATGAAATAACTATGAAGGCTAATGCAATAATAGCTTTCTTTCTTATCTCGACGACAACTGCAGATTCTAAATTTTTTGTTAATATTAATCCAGAAGAAGGTGCATATCAGTCGGCGTACTCACTTGTCTCTCTTGGTCTTTATTTGGAAGAAGATGCCCACATATTACCTTATCTTTTTGGATATCTGGAAAATTTAGACTATCCTAAAGATCGAACAAATTTGGATTTTTATGTGAATAATCGAGTGGATGCAACAGTTCAAAAAGTAAAGTGGTAAGTTAATCGTTTTTGGATCATTTGGTACAGTCCTCTATTTAAGCAGTCGGAAGACTACTTATTACCTGCAAAAAAGAACTTGCCTGTTTCTTTTTTCTTGAATTGCCAGATCTCGTTTAACGGTGGAACTACCTCTTTGATATTTCGCTTCCAATATTTGTGTTGTAGGTGGTTAAAAGAGGTGGACAGTTTGTATCACAAAACGCAGCTTACACTCAGTCCCGATAATTGGCGTGAAGATGCAATTCGAAGAGCTCGTCTTTCGCGATCAGACTATGTTTTGTTGTTAACGGTAGTGAGGTTCTTTCAATGTCATTTTTACTTTATGCTTACTTTACGAGTCAAAAAATGTTTTTTAATTTCCTCTTATCAATGAAGATATTTTTGGATGTTTTTTAATTATTATTTTTTACTTTTCAGGCCGATCATTTTTTTACTGAGCCACAACTTTTACAAAAATTAATTGACGTTAAAACTCTGGCAATATCTCCAGTGTTGGACGATCCTTGGATTTCGCATTCACATCTTTCGCCTGCTCAAAACCCACTAGTAAGTGATTTCCCTTTTTTTCAAGTATTTAGTTTCTGGTTATAGGAAGCAGTTTTTTTGCAGCAAAGCAGTATACCATTATTTATTTATTTATCACATAGTGATGCATCATACATTACCTTTTCTTCCGAAAACCTCTCTCACTATGATCAAAGTGAAGACCCTTATGATGTCTTCATCGTATCTTTGGCTCGCATAAGGGCCAGTATTGTATTCTTCAATCAAAGCTATTTTGGCTATAATTTGAACTGCAATCGATGCTCCCCGGATTTAAGGAGAATGAGGGTCAGTTTTCTTCCAGTCTTCCTGCAATTGGTTCTTTATTTTCCCTGTCATGAGCATTTTCTCTGTTTTGTTTCAGTCAGAGCTGTTTTAGATGAATTATTTGGTAGCTGACATCATTAATAGTTTTGGGTTGGGTGCGATTCCTGTTTCAACCGTTATAAAACCATGGTATCCTAAACCGTCGTTATTCGGGATGGATCAAATTTATGTGATTAATTTACAGCGCAGGCCTGAACGGTAATCTGCCTGTCGATCGCTAGAGTAAATCATATTTTTTGCAGTCAATTTTTTGATGTATGGAGCGCTAGTAGTAAGTGGAAAGATCTGAAAATACTTTCAGTTACCTGAGACTGATTTGCGGCTTGTGTCATTTTAATTGATTTTTTCAAATTTTGCCACAGCCTAACGAAGTCTCTGAATTGTTTGCTCATCTCTCTTTTCAGTAAAAAGAAACTTGAGAAAGTACTAAAGCTGATGGGCTTTAAGTATCGGATTTGGGCTGCCACAGATGGTGAACGTCTTTATGACGAACCACTTTCCAAGAAGATTGCTTTGCTTGAAAAGTATGAGGATCCTTACTACAAAAGACCAATGAAGACTGGTGAAGTTAGTATATTGTAATGATCTTCTTTGTTTAAGAACTTGCTGACGATTATTATTGTAAGATATAATCGAGAAACCAATATGTTATTCTGCGGCTCTCTTTGGCCACAATTTTTTCTTATATATTTAGATTGGCTGCTTCCTTAGTCATTACCGCATCTGGAAAGACGTCGTTAAAAACGAATACAACCGAGTGATCGTTTTTGAAGATGATATCAGTTTTGAAATGGACAGTACAAGTCGTCTTGCTGAGCTTGTCGAGGACGTAGATGCTTCCTCATTTGTTTGGGATTTTATCTACCTAGGCCGGAAGCAGATGAGTAAGGATGGAAACAGTTGGGTCGCAGGTATGATTACTCACCATTTCCTGACAGCAAAGTTCTTTCCATAAAAAATTCAAAAGTGTAGTTTTATTTAGTGCTAGGTTTTATTTTTCAGTTTTTATTTATTTTTTTTTAATCTTATAACTTTATGTTCTATCCTATGTCTTGGTCAATCTGCCTGTCTTCTTGCGCATTTCTTCTGCTTTCAAATGAGATGCTTATATATTTTTGTTATTATAATATGTTTTGTAGGTATCCGTCACCTCAGCACAGTGGGTTATTCGTATTGGACCATAGGTTATATGCTTGCCCAAACAGGAGCACAAAAGCTCCTTAAAGCAAAACCGCTAGAAAAACTTATTCCTGTTGATGAATACATCCCGATTATGTTTGACCGACATCCAAATGCGACTTGGAAAGCCGCTTTTGCAAATCGTAATCTTCTCGCGTTCACCGTGTATCCGCCATTAATTCGTCCAGAAAAGTACACTAACGATGAGGGGTATGTAAGCGATACAGAGGATTCATCGGTCGTTGAACATTTTGATTTCTCTAAGTTGCGTGAAGAAGCACTGGAAACTGAAGGTCATAGTCTTGGTGAGAAATCGGAGTCGATGTTGGTTTCTTTAGAAGGTTACAATCCTGATAAAACTGAATTATGACGTCTTAGCTTTTGTTCTGCACTGGTTTCTTGTCAGTAAAAGATGCAGGATCTTGTATATCCCTCAAATAATTTTGCTTTCAACTTTTTATTTCCTCCCCTCCCTCCTCAGAAGTAGTGATAGTTAGGTCAGAGCAGTTGGTATGTTTAGTAGAGAGTTGTCGGTTGTCTGTATTAGCCGTCTAATTTATTGTTCTGTTTTTTAGATAATCGTCTGGATTATTTTGGCTCTATTAGCATAGATTATGTTACAGTATTTTTTTGTTGTTTACTCTTTTCTTTATTGGATTAGTCAGTGTAGCGTTGGCAATCGTTTGTTGCTATTATTGGTTTCTTATTGTTGTTATCGTTGTTGCCGTTTTTGAAAGGTTTAGGCCGTTTTATTTCAACTTTTTGTTTTCTTATATATTTTTTACCCTGTTACAATCTTCGTTGTTGAGCTTAAAAAAGTCTAACCTAGAAATTTGTTATATTTTCGGATAGTTGATAAGCTGTGAATATAAATTAATCATGTAGTTTATTTTTTGAAACAATTGTGTTAATGAGAGTTTCAATTTGATGTGAAAGTTAGAATTCAGTTTGGATTGTCAGCAAACTGTAATGCTTATAAATTTTCATATAAAACGTTGTTTTGGGCTCCTTCCCCTTTTGATAAAACGCTACAAACACGTGTACCGACAACATTGTCTGTCAGTTATATTTTATTTATTTATTTTAAACGTCAGAATATTTTCAAAGGAAGCGTTGGAGAAGTAGTCCTTTCTTTTATAGATTTCTTCACTCCACTCTCATTTCCACTGATTGATAAAAGGATAGAAGTTTTTTCAGTAATTCACTTGATTTGAGCTTTGGCAGAGACATTATTGAGAACGGGGAAATCGTTTGCAGCTGATGGTGTTTTAACTGCCGGATCTGGAAACAAGTTGGATTTTAATGATTAATGTAGACGAGGACTGATAAATTGGTTATCAGTTCTTTTAGCGCTTGAAATAGGAGTATTAATTTGCTGTGTGTATGCTTTATATACTTAACTTTCAAAGAGCATTTGGTGGAGCAGTCCTTTTCGGGGCGTTTCAATAACAGTTGGTTAGTTAAGTTGATGGAGGTGCACTCTAATGTTGGCATCATTATAATTGTTTTCCATCTAATTCACTGATCAAAGCAGTAATTCGATTACGCTGATTAATGGCTTTTTTCAAGAAAGGTTTTTTTGACAAAAAACGAAAATGTCAGTACTGTTTTTTAATCCGTTTTTATGACCAATTCTGGGAAGATAGTTTTCTAATTATTTCAAAGCATTAGCAACACATGATTTATTTACTTGCTAAGTGAAATTTAAAAATCTGAATATTGGTTATGAGGTGGAGACTAGTATCTGTATATTTTTACTTCTTGGAATTTTTTTTTTGATTATTTCATTGAATTAATCGGTTTTTTTTTAAAGTACTACTATAATAACAAAAAATAATCTGATTTTGCAGTTAATACTTGCGTCTTTTTTCGGATGGGATGCATATGCGATAAAGCAGATGTTGAAATTGCAGATCGAGAATTTAAAGTGATTAGGCAGTTCGGAAAAGGGTTTGCTATATATTTATTCTAAGTCTTCTTACCTTTTTTGTTTCTTAAACAGAATAATTGAGTCAACAAGTTTTTTGACTTTTTAAAGGCGACTGTTTTATTGTTTTAAAAAGTATTATAAGTGCTGCTTTATTGATTAGTGAAAATAATTATTTATCCAGTAGTCATACTTTTAAAATATCAGCTGTATTTTCTTCGAAGGAATTTTATCTTCTATTACATCTTTCCATAAATTAAGCTAACGGTCTTTTTAATATAGCAAAATTCAAATTTTTAGGGGATTTAGTCAACTGTTTTTGGTGGAAGAGTTGAGCACTAAACGAAGATGGGCTATGAAAAGATTAGACTGCCACTCACAAACAGACGTTCAGCGTGTTTGTCGTGAGATTGAGATGCATCGTCAGTTTGGATCTCATCCCAACATTCTTCCGCTTGAAGCATTTACAAAACGAAAAACTGCTTATGGATATCAGTTTGATCTCATTTTTGAATATTATAAGGTAGGTTTCATAAGGATCTGTCTAAAGTATTTTAGTTGGGTACTAAACCGATGAAGTTTTTTTTTTGTCTTTCATTCTTTGAAGCTACTTTGTAGGTAATGATTAGATCACATATAGCTGTTTGTGAACGATTCACTTTTTTTATGTAAAATCCAGTGAGTGATCTGTTTAAGTTGTGTTCCTGGGATTTAAAACCCTTTTCCTAAGCAATGAACGAGTTGTGTGGTACACATATGGTAGTAATAATACAGTTTCCTTTTAACTGTAAAAATTATCAATTCAAAAGTTTATGCTGAAATCTACATTAACTTCTTGACTTCATTTAATATTTCATTTTCAAGTTCTGTCTACAGTCTAGAAATTCCTCGTAAGTGATAATCTTAAGAAAACTTGTTTCTTGATGGACTTAAAAATTAACTAGCATCTCTGATAGTTAATTTCTTACTGTGAGTCACAAGTTTTCTTTACAGAAGGGGAGTTTACAAGATGAACTTTTACGCCGACGTGTAAATATGGATTATTTGAGTGAAAGCAGGGTGATTCAAATCTTTTCACAGGTAGTAAATGCTGTGTCTGTGTTGCACTCGCATTCCCCATCCATTGCTCACAGGTTCTTTTTAAATATAGCTTTACCTTTTCAATTGTATTTTCTATTAGCTTAAAATTTATTAAATACTTTGACCCAATTTGCCCCGCAGTTGATTCGTTTAAAGTAGGTTTGTCTGTTATGAAAGTTTGTTATGATTTAAACTAAATACTTTGCTTCTCCCTTCCCACTCCTAAACTGAATGTAGCAAGAAGTTTTGCTTGAATTTTTTTGACTTCAATAATCGTAGATTTCATAATCAGTATTGTGATATGCATTTTTTTTTCATGAAGCATAATTTTTCCTTCGTAGATAACGGTTCTGCTTACCAGCTTCAACATCATCTTCCTGATTTTTTTTTATATTCGAAGTTTCGTAGGGATTTAAAGCCGGGCAATATTCTGTTTTCAAATGATGACCAACCCATTTTGATGGACTTTGGATCTTGTTGCGAATGTCCAATCTACATTAAGGATTATAAAGACTCTAGGTTTCAACTGGTAACCAAATTTATGCATTGCATTATGTCTTCATGGTAACTTTTTGAGGGCAATATCACCGTAGCATTTTAGGTTTTGCTATTAGTTCCTCGTGCTGCTTTAACAAATAATGGGATTTTAGGATGAAGCTAGTGAATTATGTTCTATGCCTTACAGAGCTCCAGAGCTTTTCACTTGTGAAATAAGTTCTGTTATTGATTGCGCAATCGACATATGGGTAATTGTTTTCTTTTGTTTTAAAACAGTGAGTTCTGTTAGTAGGTATTACAGGAACTGTGGTAACCAGAATTTAGTGGAATTTAGTACAGCTTTTTTTTTTTATTTTTAGTACTTTCGCTACTTTTGCCTTCTTAATTCTAAGCATATACTTTAAAGAGTTATTTGTAACCTGGCTAAAGTGTTATTTAGAAACGGTACTTCATACGTCTTCTGCGACAAGGAATTTTTCTGGGTTTTTTTGGTTGATATAT